AATAGTTACCCAGGTCGAGAGAACCTTACCGAGAGCAAAAACCCAGCTCTGAGGGACAGAGCTTTTACCGGGAGAGAGTATACCAGGGGAAACCCCCCTCTCTCTCTCAGCTTGCTCCCAAAAAGCCAGTGTCTTTATGCTCAACAACAGGATATAAAAACCTAAAGACACCTCCTCCATACCCAAATTTGTGGAGACTGGGCATGGCCTCTGATGTACAGGACTGGACATGACCAGACATTCTATGGCTATGGCATAAGACACACCTTCCCATGTTTGTGTAAAAAGGACATGACCCCTACTCTACAGGACTTGCAAAATATTATTCTCGGCTATGACATAACCACCTTTTTGGGGCCTCTTAGTTTCTCTCCTTAAGTCAGGAGCCCCACTCCCTGAGTACTGCTGTGAGAGGAGAGGGAAGAAACTGCCTTCTCCCTTATCAGTGACACCCATAAATCATTATACGCCTTACACTCAATTTAACAAACCACTTGTGTTTTGTTTATACTGTAAATATAGAAAAACCTAACATATGAAGCATTTTCATTGTGGGTTATACAAGAATATAATTGATTATACTTGATTATAACTAACTGTCATTTTAATTATTCAACCTGATATGGAGATCTCAACACCCTTTATTTTACCCGCTGAATATCTTTTAATAAGTTTCATTTGTAGGCCGTTATTATCAGTGTTATGTTTAGCAGCTCTTAGATAAAGGAGTATAATTCTACACTGTCCACAAACTTGGCCTGGAATGAACTTCTCTAGACTAGAGTAACAAATCACAGCCAGGAACTGATAGTTCCTCTGGGGACAGATTTCAGCTTCTGACTAGGTTGCCAGTAGTCCATTTAATCAAACTTGAAAAAACAGCATGCAGAATTTTCTTTAGTGAAAGATAAAACTCATATACTCAGACTCTGACCTGGACACATTTCTCATCTTCCTGTGTCCTCTGGCCCACATCCCTCAACTCTAGACAGCGGTTCCTCAGCTCATTGGTCAGCTCCTGGACGCAGGTTTGAGACTGGCCCAACAACGACTCCTGAGCTTGCAGTCTTATAAAAAGAAACCAGACAGAGCTTGTGAAACATCAAGCATAAATAAAGGAATGTTATAACATGAAAAAGCTGATTTATTTACTTGACTAAAGCACAGGTCCTTACCTTTTTTGAGTTTCAGACAGCTGGTGCATTATGTTGCTCTGTAAATGAATGAGAGGAACAAATTAAAATCGGAGGATTCAATACAGAGATCAAATAAAACCAGCAGATAAATACAAACCTTATCTGCTCTCTCCTCCTGTAGCTCTTTAAGCATAGTTTTTTTGAAGGCATCATTCAACTCATCGCTGAAAAATTACAAGATAACAATATTAATCTACTTATGCCATTAACAATAAATGATATGGTGCATTTCAGGGCAGTGTATGGCTGAATGACTGGAGAAATAAACTCACCTTTTGTTATTCCCATTGTGAATCAGCTGGTTCTCCTTGTTGTAGAACTGGTCAAGTAAAGCCTGGATCTGAAGCCGGACCATCTCTTTCTCAGTCAGCTGCATCTGAGGACAGAAACAATGTATTTTCATATTTGAAGGACTTCAAAGTCCATAAGGACCATAAGGCTATTAAATGTATTAATTACTTTTATTTTGTATGTAAACATTTAATGTAAGTGGAGAAAAAGACTCTATACTAGTCAAGTCTGCTGTAACCTTGCGGAATAAATACAGTGGGGCAAAAAAGTATTTAGTCAGCCACCAATTGTGCAAGTTCTCCCACTTAAAAATATGAGAGACCTGTAATTTTCATCCTAGGTACACTTCAACTATGAGAGACAGAATGGGGGGAAAGAATCCAGGAAATCACATTGTCTGATTTTTAAAGAATTAATTGGTAAATTCCTCGGTAAAATAAGTATTTGGTCACCTACAAACAAACAAGATTTCTGGCTCTCACAGACCTGTAACTTCTTCTTTAAGAGCCTCCTCTGTCCTCCACTTGTTAACTGTATTAATGGCGCCTGTTTGAACTCGTTATCAGTATAAAAGACACCTGTCCACAACCTCAAACAGTCACACTCCAAACTCCACTAGGGCCAAGACCAAAGAGCTGTCAAAGGACACCAGAAACAAAATTGTAGACCTGCACCAGGCTGGGAAGAGTGAATCTGCAATAGGTAAGCAGCTTGGTGTGAAGAAATCAACTGTGGGAGCAATTATTAGAAAATGGAAGAAATACAAGACCACTGATAATCTCCCTCGATCTGGGGCCCCACGCAAGATCTCACCCCGTGGGGTCAAAATGATCACAAGAACGGTGAGCAAAAATCCCAGAACCACACGGGGGGACCTAGTCAATGACCTGCAGAGAGCTGGGACCAAAGTAACAAAGGCTACCATCAGTAACACACTACGCCGCCAGGGACTCAAATCCTGCAGTGCCAGACGTGTCCCCCTGCTTAAGCCAGTACATGTCCAGGCCCGTCTGAAGTTTGCTAGAGAGCATTTAGATGATCCAGAAGAGGATTGGGAGAATGTCATATGGTCAGATGAAACCAAAATAGAACTTTTTGGTAAAAACTCAACTAGACGTGTTTGGAGGAGAAAGAATGCTGAGTTGCATCCAAAGAACACCATACCTACTGTGAAACATGGGGGTGGAAACATCATGCTTTGGGGCTGTTTTTCTGCAAAGGGACCAGGACGACTGATCCGTGTAAAGGAAAGAATGAATGGGGCCATGTATCGTGAGATTTTGAGTGACAACCTCCTTCCATCAGCAAGGGCATTGAAGATGAAACGTGGCTGGGTCTTTCAGCATGACAATGATCCCAAACACACCGCCCGGGCAACGAAGGAGTGGCTTCGCAAGAAGCATTTCAAGGTCCTGGAGTGGCCTAGCCAGTCTCCAGATCTCAACCCCATAGAAAATCTTTGGAGGGAGTTGAAAGTCTGTGTTGCCCAGCGACAGCCCCAAAACATCACTGCTCTAGAGGAGATCTGCATGGAGGAATGGGCCAAAGTAGCAGCAACAGTGTGTGAAAACCTTGTGAAGACTTACAGAAAACGTTTGACCTCTGTCATTGCCAACAAAGGGTATATAACAAAGTATTGAGATGAACTTTTGTTATTGACCAAATACTTATTTTACACCATAATTTGCAAATAAATTCTTTAAAAATCAGACAATGTGATTTTCTGGATTTTTTTTTCTTTCTCATTTTGTTCTCATAGTTGAGGTATACCTAGGATGAAAATTACAGGCCTCATCTTTTTAAGTGGGAGAACTTGCACAATTGGTGGCTGACTAAATACTTTTTTGCCCCACTGTACATCAGTCCAGTAATAAATGGCTATAGATGTATTAAACATTTGAACAAAGATATACCTTAAGCCTTTGGATCTCGTCATTCTTGGCCGTCCTCTCCGCGTTCAGCTCTGCTAAAAGTACCTCCATGGTCATCATGGAGGAGCGTCGATTCTCCAGCTCCCTCTCCTGGCTCTCCAGTACGTGGCTCAGGTCTCTGCTGAAACTCCTTGGAGTGCAGGGTGTCTGAGAAACAGAACAAATGTATTTCTTTTTAGTTGCATTTCTGACTGGAAGCTTGCCACATGTTTTATTTTTAAATGAAGAATTAAGGACTAAAAAGCTAAAAGCAAGTCTTACCCGAGGTAATGATTTAGGCGTGCCTGTCAGATCAACTAGAGGCTTGAAATGTCCATTTCTGATCGTCCTTTCAACTGCCTCCTGCTGTTTTTGTAACTGGTACAAAAGAACATATTTTAGATTTGTTTGACCGTAGTAGTTATGTCTTTGCTCTGTGTTGAGATTATTTAGAAAAAGTGACCTTCTGCATCATGATGTCCTTCTGGGCCGTTTGCTCCTGGAAGAGGCTGTTTCGCTCATCTAAGACCTTAGTGAGTCTCTCAACCTCCTCAGTGGCATAAACCACCTCCTCCTGCAACACCTCCACCTGAGGACAATCACATACGCTTTATATACAGTACCTATTGTTTTCCATTTGCTGAACATGTCAAAAGTATTCATCCCTTGCAGTAAATATACCAAACAAATCACACAAAAATGATCAAACGTACCTCTATTTTGTTGGATGCCACTCGTCTCTCTACATTTTCTTTCAGGTCACAGATTTCTGCCTGAATCTTAGAGTTTTGCCCCTGGAGATCCTCCCTTTCAAAGCAGGCAACATTGTACTTGGCCTGAAAGACCAATGACATTGTTATCATCAGCAAGCTCAACAAACATTAAACATATTTACAATAAGAGGTGGAAGAGCAAAAGGAATAGGTAACAAAGCAAAAACAGTGAAGTTATTCAAATCAAATAAAGGGTAGAATAGGTGGAGGGTAATTACTGTGATATCATTGATGTCTTCACACAGGTGAACAATGGTCTGGTCCTTCTGGCTCAGCTCACTGCGTAGGTCTCTGGTTTGGTTGATCAGATCCACAACAACATCCTGTCAAAATACACAGGTAGGATTCAGAAGGGTAGCTTTAAACAATGTCATTATTTCTGGAAGGAATTGGATAATAGTTCACTCAGGCTTACTTTGTCCTGTTCAGTCTTCTGTTCCAAGCCTTTTATCGTTTCGTTGGCAGAGTTGGAATTTTGCTCAAGATCGACAATTTTGGATGCCTTCAAACCAAAAATCACATAAGCAGGTTTAGAAAATACTGCTACAATAGTTACATATATTGAATTTTATTTTGAAAACATGCAGGCTGTTCTTAGGAATGACCTGCTGTTGATTCTGTACGGTCAGTTCTGAGACTTGCTTTCTCAGCAGTGTATTTTGCTCCATCGTTTCAATAAGTTCTCTGAAGGGAAACACCAAGGTTGCTTGTGTTAAAAAGAGTAATTTAAAATATTTAGAATTGTTACACACATTAAGCAACTCTAAAAAAGAGAAAGCTGTGGACAAACTCACTTTAATGTGCTCTCTTTGTTTTCTGTTAACTGGGAGATCAGGATGCTTGTGTGCTCTTGCTCCATCTGCAGAGAACTATTCAGCTTCTACAACAGAAATAAAACAAAAGGAAGTTTAGACAGAGATATCAGGAGAAAGAAACGATAAGGCGCTTTCACACCAAGTACTTTGCCGTACTTAGTTCCCAGTACTTAGTTCAGAAGAACTAAAGAAGAACTAAAGAGCAGATCGCGTTCACACCGGAATAAGTCCCTGAGGGAGGATTAGGCAAATGAGCCGCTGACGTCACTTCTTCTTCTTCTTCGGGTTTACTGGCAGGCCGCAAACAACTTCACGGCGTATACTGCCGCCCGAAGTCCCCGGCCGGAAGTCCCCGGAGTGAAGTCCCCGGAGTTGGGGACTGGCTGAAGCCTTCCGAGTAAATCGCCAGAACGCCGACACCTCCTCATCTCCACCCCTCCCATGTTTTCTTTTGTGTTGCCATAAGTTAGTCTCTCTCCGTTCGTTGGTGCGCTGGGCTAATGCTAATGCTAATAATGCTAATGCCAGCAAATACAATGGCGGCTTCACAAAACTCTTCCGAGTTTACGGGGCGTGGTTTGCAATTCGCCCAGCCAATGAGAAATGGGAACCTTTTTCTCCCAGGAAACTCCCTGCTCTCTAGCAGGGGGTGAAAAGGTGTGCAAAAAAAACTTCTAGTTCCAGATCTTTTTGGTGTGAACGCAAAATCCCAGGAACTATCAGAACTATTCCTGGGAAAAGTACTCCGGTGTGAAAGCGCCTATTGTTTCGATTTTTTGGAGAGTTTACTAACCGTGACCTGTGCCTTCAGTTGATCGATCTCCTGCTGCTTGTCCTGCAGCTGCTGTTGGGCCTGATCCGCATCAAACTTGGCCTCAGCTTGGAGCTGGTCAAATGAATCCTGCAGTGTCCGATGCTGCTCCAGAAGCTGCTCCCACTCCAGCCTGTTAACACATTGTATTTGTGGTCACTTAAACACATCAGATCAAGGAGGACATAGTGCAAAGGTAATAAAATAATGCTTACTGGATTTTGTCAAGTTGGAGCTGAGTGCTGATCAGACTGCTGGAGAGCTGAGTCGTCTCTCTCTGCTGCTCGCTGTGACCCTCTCTTAGCTCGCTCCTCACAGCAGCCAGCTCCTTGTCAGACGACTGCAGCACCAGACGTAGATCGCGGATCTCAGTCCTCAGTACTGAAACCAGAGGAAACAAAGAGTCATCACCTCCATCTGACAAACACTTCCAACACAAGAGGAGCATGAGATCCTTACCTTCTGCGGCCTGCTGTTCAGACTGAAGGCTCTGTTGCAGCTCGTTCGCAGTTTCTTGTCGGTTGAGCTGATCTGTGTTCCTGTTAGCTCGCTCAGTAGAAAGCAGCTGCATAATGCGTAAAGGGGAACAAATGGGCAACATGGGAAATATCAAACAGATTTAGTTTTTACACAGCCTTACATTTAAATGAGAAAGCTGTAAATGAACATGAGAAAATTCTACCTCATCCTTGTGGTCAGACTCTTGTGACATCACAGTGATCTGCTCCTCAAGTTTTGCAATCTGCTGCTGCAGCTTGCTGTTCTTCAGCTCTTCCTCATTAAACTGTGTCTGGAAGTGGCTAGCTTGCTCCTGGTGAGACATTAAAGAAAGTATGAGACAATGGAGAATGTGTTTTTATACACACATTTACGGGATAAACCACACTGTCGTACCTGCACTTGACACAGTTCCTCAGTCACAGCCATCTCAGCCATTTCTGCAGGAGGCGGCTCTGACCAGAGGTCGTCCGTGCCGTGGTCTGACCCATTCAGGTGCTCCGGGCTAGAGAAAGGCACGAGACGAGTCCGCAGGTTGTATGCTTTGGTGGGCGTGGTGAGAATCTGATATATTAGATATTGAAGGTAAAAAACAAAGTGATTGTCAGCAAGACAACAATGACAGATTTTAGAAGAAAACGTTGCCTCTGTGATCTAAATACAAATGTCCACGTCCCCTCACCTTTATGGTTTCAACGTGAATTCTGTTCAGCTCAGACACCTCCTTTTTCTTGTAAGCGTTCGTGGCTTCCAAAATGTTTTCCAAATGCCTGTTGGACTTGTCGAGGTACCTTTTCTCAGACTGCAGCTGAGACATCTGCTTCCTAGAACGCAAAAGCACCAATCGAAAAACATTTTACCCTCTAATCTAAAGTTACTTTAAGTCTTTTAACACATTGCATGAACACTTACAATACAGTCACCAATCAAAACCAGTTGATATTACATTCAGGGATGGATTGTCACTCCAAATATATGAATACAATATATTTTAAGTTTAAGTCAGGGGAAGTAATAGGCTTTTCTTTTTTTAATTAAAACTCTTACATACATTAGATGTTGACAAAGAAAAAAGGCTAGGAAATTAGAGTTGAACGCTGTGTGCCTACAGTAAACATCCTTACTTGGTCACTTCTTTGTACTCCTCATAGGCCTGAAGGGCGCCTGTGAGGTCAGTCTGTTTCTGGAGCAGCTTAGCCTTCAGCTTCTCAATGGCAGCAGCCGAGGCACTGTCTACAGCCACAGGGGTCGAAGAGGCTCCTGGAGTTGTGGAGCGACAGTGGTTCAGGAAATAAACACGTTAACTTGACCTGTTCTCTCCTGCTGATAATGATCTTACCCTCTGTTCGTCTTTCTGTCTCCATAGCCCTTTGGAAATGATCTTCCAGATCCGCAGTAACTTGGGCTGCAGCCTCTTCAGCGTTCACCACTGACGGAAGAGAACGGAGTTGACGGTTCTCCTCTCTGAGAGCAAAGTTCTCCGCTACATATCGAGTCATCTTTGGGTGATGTTCAACCTAAAAGCAGAGATGTGTGCATGGGAAAACACTGTGTTGTTAAATGTTGGGATTTAATGGCCATTATTTAAAAAAATAAAAGTATATACAGAGGATATAATGTAACTCTATTGGGTCTTTTAGGATAAGCATGATGTTGGATTCTCGAGAAAATAAATCATGTCAATATTTAAATGTTTTGTACATCTGAACCACATCCATACACATACAGACATCAGCAGTGGGTAAGGCAGTGTTTAAATGGTGTACCTGATCTCTCAATATATTTATCTCGTCTTTCAGCTGGTCAATCACGACCTGAGACTCCTTGTCTGAAACTAAGCCTGGTTCCGCCTTCAGTTTTTTCTCAAGGCGATAGATGTGGTCCTCTCGGAACTTGACGATCATTCGGCTGGAATGGATGAACTTGTCTTTATGAGTCCAGGCCTCCTCAAGCTGAGCCACTTTGTTGAGCAGCATCTGAGTGAAGTCAAACATTTCTGTAAGATTTCATGCACGAAAAGTATTTCCTCACAGCAGCATTTACAAAATTAAATAACCATCCAAAAAACATAATTATTTTCATACCCTCCTCTCGTCTTCGCACTTCTTCCAGAGACGAGCTGCAGCCATGAACTTTGCTTTGTATGAGCCCTCGGGTTGAATATCTATGGAAGCGTTTGATGGGAAAAGCTCATTTATACTTTCGCAACATAACAGAACACTTTTTATTTATTTATGATTTTCTATGATTTTGACCAAATAACTGTATAACATGTAAGTGACTGACATTTAAATATTTGCTAATTGTTTAAAGACAATGTTATTAGAGGGTGTTATGGTTAACATGTGTTTGGTACTCGTGTTGTTACCTATGGGGAGTCCAGGTCCTCCTGGCGCTACATCTCTCCCATAGTCCCCTCCTGGAGAAGTTACTGCCTGTGCAAGCAGCTCTTTCAGCTTCTTCACCTCAGCAAGTAACTGCCTCACATTTCCCTGTGTGTCTTCATTGATGACTGCCTGAATAAACAGAATAAAAGCACAAGGATGAGATTACAAAGTGCTATTGGAAATAACCAGAACTTCAAATCAACTTTGTTGTAATACAATATAAATTTTGTTTAATGACAATACCTTGTTCTTGATCAACTTGGCCCTCTGGGCAAACTGCAAGGTGGACAGAGTTTCTCCAAAACACTTTGAACCCGGATGAACATTGGCTATAATGTAGGTCTTTGCATTTCCTCCAAGAGAGTCCTGAGAAACAATAATAATTGTTACAGAGAATATATTTTCAATTGATATGGTGCAATAACATATTTTAGTGCAGTATTATAACGTTTTATATTCTATTAAAGTGGAAAGAAAATAAATGAATGTGGAGGAAAGTCAAATACTGGAAGAGCACAAGAGTTGAACTTTGTTTACATTTAAAACAATTCACAATGCAACCCTTATTTATGCCAAAATCTTTTACAATAGTGATTTCAGTGGAATACTCCCATCATATAAACTTGTATTTTACACAATAAATGCAATTGAGTCATGCCACTGGACATAATACTATGGAAGTTGACTCCACATTGATACACAGCGATATAACAAGTACTGTGCCAAAGCCACACCAAAGGTATATTAAGTATTTAGAGCTACTCACCCTCAGCAAGAAGGTGAGTTTAGATTCTCTGTAGCAGATGTGACGGTTCTTCCCATTGGACACATCAACCAGGGCCATGATCACCTGACCGAGGCACATGAGGGAGCGATTGATGCTGCTGGCCTCCTGAAAGAGAAGAAATGCAGGTATAGGCAGTTAGAAACAGCAACAATCATAGTGTAGCACTTCAGCTTGAGACTGGATTCATGGACAAAGCTTCACCTTTAGTCTGGATCCTTCTGTGTTTGTGTCTTTCTGCCTCTCAGACCCTGCCAGGTCTACCAGGTTCAACTGAGACATACGAATGTTCACCACTTCATTGATTGACTCTTTAGACTCCAACATCATGGTGAACACTGCGTGAGATCTGGAAGACTCTCTGTTCATGGAGGTGGAGGCCACTCGTCTATTTCGCCAGCCCGTAGACAGCACCTAAATGGTTTGAAACAGAAAGAATTGGCACCCACATTTAATTATCAATTTCTTGTTATCTCAACTCAACATGTATTATAAACCACAATAACCTTTGGAGTCACAACATGCAGAGTGTATACCTGGTAGGCTTCAGCGGCTGAGTTGACGAACTTCTCTACGGCTCCCTCAACAAACAAACCTTTCTTGATGTTCTCCCGGAGGAACAGGCTAGCTGAGGCTGTGTCCAGAAGGTCGTAAATTTGTTCATTGTAGATCTCAATAAATGAACATTTGCAAAGGAAACTCTTGGACTGGCCAGACTTTTAGGAAAAAAGAACAAACAAAGAACCGACTTTATTAGAAAAGCAAAAATTGTTTAATAACACCTTCGTGGCAATGAAAATGTAAAGCTCACCCTTTCCACCTCTCTGTTGATGAGAAAGAACAGGTACTCAAAACATCGAGGAATAACACCCCTTAATTCATCTGTGAAGTTGTCTAACTCAGATGGTCCTAGAGCAGAAGACAAGAGCAGAAGACAAAAATAGAGTCATTTTCAATTATTCTCTTGCTGGATTTAAGAGAACATGTAGATATTATATGTAGATGTATATGATATATTTAATTCTCACCAAGCATGGTGAATGTTTTTCCTGAGCCTGTTTGTCCGCTGCAGAAGCAAAAGAGAAATTGATAAGGAATTAAATGTTACACAGGAAGCCCAACACCACAAAGACCAAGACAAAGTGCCCTAAAATATTTCAGATTTGTAGTTATCATAAACAACGTTAAAACCACTTACTAGGCAAATATAGTTCCATTGTATCCATTTACGCAAGACTCAACAATATTCTTGGCCACGCTGGAGAATACAGACTCCTGTTAAAGAACGACATAAAGATTAAACACACAATCTTGATGAGTCATACATAATTAATCCTACTAAAGTTGCATTTATTAGTCAATCAACAGACAAATAATACGGAACTATTTTTAAAATCCAATTGAAGTTCATTTTTTGTGCAAAAGTTGCAGAAAATGCAGTTTTCAGCCTCTCAAATATGGAAATTTCCTGCTTTCTTTTTGATATCCTATTGAACTGAATCTATTTTGGTTTTAGCCTGACAAAACAAGACATTTTAAGATACAACCATATGCACCTTTTTCCTGGCATGTTATAGACAAACACGTCATTAACTAGAAAATGCATTTCCTGCTGAAAATGACTGTGAATGCCGTAAACTGTGTACATTTGTAGCTGAATTTAGCTGAAAATGCAGAAAAAGCTGAATATGTTATTAGTTGAATGGTCTCTGTAGCTGCTTTTAGCTACAAAAATCAAGTAAGTTTGTTGCTGAACTTAGCAGAGAAATGCAAAAAAGTGAAATGATTTGAATCAAAATTGTTACAGCTCAAATGCATTGCAATGACTTTGTTGAAAACTTGAAAGTGAAATGTTAAACTGGAAGAATAGGAAAAATAGTGAAGAAGCTTAATATTTAAAAGAAAATATTTTAAAAAGGTATAAACAACTAAATGTATAGCCTCAATGTCCTATAATAGCTGAATAATTTAATGGTTTTTGTAGCTGAAAGTAGGCTGAAGGAGTTAGATATAAAATGTAAGTAGTAGTGAATGAATGTGTATTAAGAAGAGAAAAGAAAGTAAAAACGCTTTGAAAAGCAGCAGAATATTTTAACTGCAAACCTTTGAACTAAAACCGTACGTCACCAATAATGTATAAAATATGTGGAACATGTTGAAGTCAGTATGAAGTCTCCATCAGACAGAAAATAATAGGCTGAGACAGTCTGTTAAACTCCAGTCTGTGTGTTTGTGTTTGAGGTGAAGACGTTATCAAACACCTGCATGTGAGCCCAGAGATCAAAGGTTACCATGGTAACGACATTATCAAACACCTTTGTGTGAGCCCAGAGATCAAAGGTTACCATGGTGATGTCAAGTGAAAGGAGAGCCTTTCCATTATTCGAATGAAAAATAAACCTCTTACATTTCTAACTATAGTTTAAAAACGGTAGCTGCTATCGGTAAAATGTCAACGCGTGAAGCATGTCAGGACCCTGAGGGGCGTCTCAGTCTGCTTTCTTGTGTATTATGGCATTCAAACGATAAAAACGCTGCTGAAGGTTAATCCATAGGTTAATCCAATGTGTCTGTGTCACTTTGAAATGATTACTGATAATCCATCGTCATATTTATGGCAAAAACTGAGATTTCATATTAGCTGCTATAATAGCTACGAGAGTGTATGACAGCTTCCGGTTTTGGGCATTCTGGCTACGCATCACTCTATTCACCAATGGGTAATGTTTAGATGGATTTTAGGAACTTCCCCTCAATTCTATTGGCTCTAACGGTTAAAAAGAGATGTCAATCATCAAAATCGATCGATGGGTTCCAGAGATAAGGAAAATGCACCCAAATGACCCCAGAAGTGGGGTTTTTCTTCTAAATCTCTCTAGAAAGGTCAAATTTCAATTGTTTTGCATCAATCTTGATACAGGGTACTTATATATGTTATAGTTTGGATTCCTAAAGCTTTTAATCTACCATCCCATCATTCAAGGGTGGTTTTTCCTCTCTTTCCTGGAGCGTCAGCTTCAGCGTCAGACAGGCGAAGACTGACAAAGACATTGGAGTCCTGCGGGAGTCACGAGGGAGGCAAATCCTACTTTGATTGAGCTAAGTATCTCTAGTATTTTTATTTTCTTTGGTTTTCTAGCCCCTCATGCTATAATCATGTGTATTTTCTTCATTCCTGTTCATATGTCTTCTCGCAATTATCACTGGCCCCGTGTATCTCCTAATTATATAACCGGCCTGCTCTCGTCTATCCCACATGCTCCATTGAGATCCAACAGCTAGTTGCAGGTGGCCTGTGGAACTGCCAGTCAGCTGTTCTTAAAGCTGACATCGTTTCTGGCTACGCTTCCCTGCAGTCTCTGGATTTCCTTGCTCTCACTGAGACGTGGATTACACTATCCAACACATCCACCCCAGCAGCTCTCTCCACAGCATATTCCTTCTTCCATACACCCAGACCCACTGGCAGAGGAGGTGGCACTGGTCTCCTGCTCTCTCCCAACTGGAGCTTTTCCCTCTTCAAGCTACCTAACTTCACTCCTTCCGCCTTTGAATTCCATGCCGTCACAGTAACCCATCCTATACAATTAACCATTGTTGTTCTCTACCGTCTACCAGGCGCTAGGGCTGAACGATATGGACAAAATTTCATATCTCGATATTCATGCCAGATATCTCGATATCGATACGATACGATATGACATATCGTATCGTATCGATATCGAGATATCTGGCATGAATATCGAGATATGAAATTTTGTCCATATCGTTCAGCCCTAGCGCCTGGTAGACGGTAGAGANGCCTGCCAAACGTAAACATTCAGCCACGTGACATTCAGCCAAACTCTCGCGAGAGTTTTACACAAGACGGGTCCTTTCTAGCCATAACCGTCCTCCGGCCATGGGCCGGTACTCAAGATGGCGCAGACAAATCAACTTCCGGTGAGACCGAGGACCGAGGACGAGGAGCGAGGAAATGAAAATAGTCGACCTGAGACAGGGCCTATCAACCGCTTCTGAAAACCAACGAAGAAGAAGTGGAGGCAGATCTGCCCGCCAATTTCGAAGGATGTAAACATAACAACCTCTTTTGTCGGACAGTCGGAGTGTGCTATGAAGGAAGAAGCGTTATATTTGACATCTTAACAGCGCGAATTAATCGTCGTCAACAATGAATTCCAGTGGAAAAGGTAGCGCACTAAACATATATTTATTAGAGTTGCAAACTAACCGCTATATAGTTTTTGCGAAATGTCAAATGTTGTTGGTAATCCTAGCAAGTAAAGTGACCTAATCCGAGACTGCTAGCATGGCTATGCTAACTCGCTTTAAAGCTAATATATTAAAAAATATAGCCATTTTGAACGTGCAGTAAAACCAAAGAGTTTTCAACAACATGTAACGTCACTGTAAGCTTGTTGTGTTTAACGTTAAACGTTGTCACCAAAACGTGTACACTTGTGTATAGATTGTGTTATTGTGTATACAGATCTAGGAAGTCAAAAAGTCATTAAACAAACGTTAACAATCGTATCCTTTACAGGATCTGGCGATTCATCCCAACTTGTTGCCAGGTAATGTACCTTTAGGACGTTTTGCTTGGTTCATTCAAAGCATTAAACAAATATCTGTTTTATAAAGATATAGTGGAGTAAAGAATTCTGCAGCAGAACAATATGTCAACCTCCCTGTGTGTGTTGCTTAAGAAATATTTTAAATGCCAAATATATATACTTCATAATAGAAGTAGTAACTGCAGTCATATGTTTTTTGTCAGTGCTTTAATATATGTGATATTTTGGATAATTATTACTACTGCATTAGTGTTTGTGTTGCATTTCACTGCCCTAGATGTTATCATTTTTGTAATTTAAACTACTTTATTCCATGCTGTTGAGACGTTTAATCTTATTTCTGGTCCTACAGCAGTGACGGGGATTCCATCAAAGTGTTTGTGCGAGTACGACCTTTGACCTATAAGACTGGGCTGACCACAGATGGAGACCAGAAGCTTTGTCTCACAGTTACTTCAGCCAACACCATCCGCCTGCTATCAAAACCAGAACCACGAACATTCACTTATGATCATGTTGCTGACATGGAAATATCTCAGGTTGGGAGCACACAGTTTTTATATCGTTTGTCAGCCTGGAACGTAGGGCTGCAATTATACAATTATTGTTATTATCAATCAATGTGCCAATTATATTCTATGCTAATTAGTGTGAATGCTATGTACAGCATTCCACTATAGTTCTTCTGTTTCTTTAATCTTATTCTTCCTTTTCTTATTATTTCACCAAATAGTTTGGCTCTCAATAACTTTAGCATACTTTCAGCTACAGAAACCATTAAAATATTAAAATATTCAGCCTGTTCAGCACATGATGGGAAGCGTTCAACTTTTTCTAAATATGTTATACTTTTTGAAATATTCAGCTTTTTAAAATCTTTTTTTAACATGGAACTCAATGGGAGGAACCTTCAAATTCTCTTTTACCTACACCGTGCGCCAAATGCTACTCCTTCCACATACTTTCAGCTAGAGACTTCATTCCAACTTTAAAATGATCCCAAGACATTCAGCTATTAAAATCATATTCAGACTTTGTATATCTTTTACACTTTTTGAGATATTTAACTTAG